TTGTGGAAGGATGTATTTTATAATTTGTATTTTCTTTGTATTTGTTGGTATTTGTCGCTATCTGTAGATTAAGTGTCATATGTCGATAGGTTATATGTCACTATCGAATATGATGTCTAGCTTGTAGGATATGATATAAAGTGTGTAACCCTCAATAGTCTAGGGGGCTATATTGTAAATATGTTTATCGTATTGCAATCATACGATTGCAATTCAATTATGTAACCGGCTCCTTTGAGCCTATAAATAGGACATTTGCCCATATGAAATAAACAAGTTAAGTTTGAGTGTTTAAGACTTGAGTTGAATCTCAAAGTTCTTCCTCTGTTGAAATAGTTGTTCTATTTCTGAATAGCAGAACGTCTATCCAAAGTAATCAAAACCATCCATCTAATCATCATCAAGATCATCCTTACGTATCATTCAGGTATAATCATCCATTTTTATCGTTATAATCGTCAATGATCGCACGTTTGATATCGCCTTTTGGTGAGAAAGAGGGAAACAACGAAAGAGGGGGGGGGGGGGGTGGACATATTTATTTATTTTTTTCTTTTTTCAAAAGTCTAAAAATGATTAATAAATAAAAAAAATTGAATTAAGGGTAAAATAGTTTTTTTTTTATGTACGGAGGGATGAAGTGTATAAGTTTTAAACAAACAAGGGACGGTCTGAGTTAATTTTTGAAAATAGAAACTAAACATGCTTTTGGACACCTACACGAGGGACGATTCGTGTAATTTACTCCCTATTTTATTCTGGGGTAAATTACACCAATCGTCACTCGCACATGCCAGAAAGCGTGTATAGTCCCTATTTTTAAAAAGTAACTCGGACCATCCCTAGGTTTGATTTTTCTTGCACGCTTAGTCCCATTGACATGAAATGACTGTTTTACCCTTAATTATTTATTTTTAGATTTTCTTTTATTTCTTTATTAGTTTCAAATAGAAAAAAAAAGAAAATAAACCAAAAATCCTCACCCTCTCCTTACGACACTTCCCTTCTCCCCTCTTCTCACCTCCTTATTCCTCCTGCAACACCTCGATCTGAAACCCTCCATCTGAAACTTCATCAACGACTTCTGATGGTGGCGCACAAGTGAGGAAGGAGATCGCCGGCATCTGACAAAGCATCACCATCGTAGTTCCGCTCAGAAACCTTCCCTTTTCTGCAACTCCACTGGCGACCACGCATTTGCAAATCCGACCTGTAACTATCAAATCCCTAGCACAAACTAGTGTAAAACCCAACAGGTGGCGATGAACGCTCCATCTTCGGTGAACAGGTGGTGACGAAGACGAAGGTTTTCAGTTGAACAAATGTAGATCAAAATGTGGAGCTTCGATTATGACTGTGGAGATGGATGTGTTGAACGAAGATCTGTCGAAACCCCCCTAACCGACATTGATAGCGGTGCACATGTGAGGCGACGACGATGGCTTAGAGGTGACGGTGAGGGTGGGCATCGAAAGGAGCCTCTGTCAGATTTAGATTAAGAAAGAGGGTAGAAAAAGAGGTCGAAGACCATCGCAAGAGCCTCCGTTAGATCCCGTCATTTCCGCCGGAGAAGACGAGCACCGGATTCTGACGAAAAGGCTCTAGAATGACGACCACAACCACCCATCAGAAAGGGGTGGGGAATGTTCGTCGGAGGGTGGAGACGCTGGTGGTGGCCGGCAGTTTGTATGTGTGTGTTTGAGTGCTTCTTTCCGATCAGTAATAGTGAAGGGGTGGATGGGTTGGGGAAAAATGAAGGGGAGAGGGTTTATTTCTTATTTTTTTAATTGAAATTCATAATAAAACATTAAATTAATAAAAAAAATAAAAATAGAAGGGTATTATGGTCATTTTAAATTAGGAATGGACTAAGTTCGCAACAAAATCGTCTTTCAGGGGTGAAGCGTGTAAGGTTAAAACAAACGAGAGACGATCCAAGTTAATTTTTGAAAATAAAGACTAACACGCTTTGTGACATTGCACGAGGGATGAATGATGTAATTTACCCTTTATTTTGTTGGTTGATGCGGAACTAACTATATAGATGGTAAATAATGCTTATGAATCAAATGACAAATCCATTATTTTGATTAATAAATACTTTTTTTTGTCCAACATTCCTTCAAAAATAATTTAACATAGGTCCTAAATTTTTTGTATATAATTTATAAAATTAGGTGATTCATGGGACCACCTTCAACAAACATAAACTCTCTCCATGAATTTTAGGTAAAGTACAATAACTATTTCCATAATTTTCTTTTTAAGTTCCTATATAACGGAATAGCGTAAGTTTATCTGGTCATATAGACGTTAAAATACTAATAAAAATGGGATGTGTACAGTGGGTGAATTTTATTTTTTTTAGAATTCTAGGGCCTGTTTTGTTATACTTAATCGCAAAATTCAGGTGGGTATTGTAGAAATTCTCAACGGAATAATACTTAAGAAAGGGTTTGGACACAAAAGTATAAATATCAAACAAGTGTATCACGAAATATATGTATACACACTAGGGATGAAGATGCTTGAAATCGAAAAAAAAAAATGATAATCTAGTGACTTTTGAAAAAACAATGGAGAGCAAAAACTGATTTTTTTTTTTTTTTTAATAATGTAGCAACTTACATGCCACATCAACACCATTTCCAATCATTGAAATGGTCAACATTGAAAAAAATTAGAAAACATAATGTTCGTTCTAAAACAAAAAATAATACAATATGAAAATCAAAAGAATCAAAAATAAAAACATAATGTATTTTGTGTCATTTGCCCTTTATTTTAAATGTAAACTTTGATCGAACAACATACATAAGTCTCATCGTTGAATAGACCATATCTACTATTACTTGTTTACAACACGTGAATTTTTACAATTTAGTCGAATAAAGAATTACAATATATATTAATATATATAATATGTACCTTTTATTGTTAAAAAGTTAATGTAAACCAACATCCATTCTATTTGAATGCCACTGTGTCATCTGTAACAAAATGAACAAGATTTTTGCCAACTAATCAATAAACAACTCAACAATATCTTCCTGTAACAAAACAAGAATTTAAATAAAACAATAAAAAAATTTCAAAAATAAGAAACAAAAAGGAAAAAATTTATATATGATGAGATCTAGTAATGAAGGGCATACCAGGTAAGTAAAGTGCAGTAACAAGTTACAACATCCCAACAGGATTCAATGATGCTTCCGAAGATACTCTCTTGATCTTATGTCAGCCTACAATCAAAAGTAGTTAAATTATTAGTAACATATTTTTCTTTATAAAAAAAAATTAAATTAACTTTTTGAATTTGCTAGTCTTAATTTTACAACTTTATTACTGATGATTTATAATATTAAATATGGGTATGAGTGACACAAGGAAAATAACATATTACATATCATAGAATAAACTTAATAATCTTCATATATTAATTTTGTTCATTGTTTTTTCTTTAATAGGAAGAAATGAAAGTAGGATGCTATATATAATAAACAATTCAATGAAAGTACATTGTTATTTCAAAGTATAATATATATATATATATATATATATATATATATATATATATATATGTTAACTTTGCTGACCTGGCGAATGGGCTCGGGGACACGGTAGTTGCATGTTCTTCTAACAACTTCAACAGCAGAAGCCAAAGATACACGGTGGCCTATTGAAACAAATATTGGTTTAAATGATCCTTTACTTGAATGTAATGCCTACATAAAAAAAAAAAAAAATAATAAATAAATAAATTAAATTAAAGAGGATAAATTATAAATAAACGTCAATATTTTAACATCTTCTTCTTCATCAGTTTGTTTATTACAACATCCTACTTTCAAATCTTTGAAAAATCTTACCAATTATAACACTAGTGTCATCAAAATGGATAGATTTTTCAAAGTATAATGTCGTAATAATAAAAAAAAGATTAAAAGTATAATGCCTTTTAATAAGAAAAAAGTGAAAATATATTGTTGTAATAGAAAGGAGTTAAAGAAGAATAGTGTAATATACAAATAAATAAAAGGATGTTGTTGTTTATTGCATTTAGCCCTTAGTGTTATGATGTTATCTAGTTTTTTGTTTTTGACTTTTTGTTTTGCATTTTATATGTATAAAAAAAACAGCTTAAGTGCTTAACCTTATGATGAATAGAAGAAATCTATTACCTAATTTTGTAATAAAAGATATTGAGTGAAACAATTTCAATTTTGTCTTTCTAATGACGAAAATATAATTGATTTTGTGTAGGAAAAATGTAGGAAATAAATAACTACCCTTTATATAGTTAGTTAAGAGGGGTAAAATCGTCCATTGAGATTCTTCATTGGTATAAGTAGTGAGATATGAATCTAATTATGTTTTTCAAGATTGTCTTATTCTAACAGTAAATCAAATCGATGACTCTTGGCTACCAATTGGGATTATAATTTATAAATGAGTCACATTTTAAACAAGATGATAAACATTAATTTCAATAAACATTAAAGAGTTAGAAAGGATTAAATTATAGAATTAAAATTCTCACAGCTCCTAAAGTGTTCCCTGAGTCCCCAATTAAATAAATGAAGTCTATGTTGTAATTCTCATCAGCTTCAAACAGCTCCCTTACTTTTGAGTTAGTAAGACCATCCACATGATGCAACTGAAAACACACACAAAAAATGATCAAATTGTAGCTCAATTTTCATGTTTTTTTTTAAATAACTGAAAAGAGTTGAAAGTAGAATGCTATAATAAAATAAATGGAAGTAGGATGTTATAAATTATAATAATAAACAAATAAATGAAAGTACATTGCTATTTCCTGAAGACTTACATTCTTCCCTATGCCAATTGTAGGAAGATTGGCCAGAACCCCAAGATGGCAAGCTGAGCCAAAGCCTACACACCAAAAGTTCACAAAAGAGTTCAGTAAATGCAGTTTACTTAATAGCAAATTCACCTTCTAGAATTTAACCTATTAGCTTCTTAAGTTATTTAGATATTACCAGTTTCACTAAAATTGGCAACTAGCAAATCACAATCCCTCCATTTTTACTTAATATGGATCTATAAAATATACTATAAATTATAAAAAATAGTCATTCACCAAAGCATAGTTCATAGATTACAGAAAAGCTTAACGGAAACACATGCCTCGAGGATGAAGTATGCCATTTCCATCAATCATCAATAACTGAGTATAAAAGAAAAAAAAAATTGCATGTCATGGTCTACAAAATAATTTAAAACATATAACAAACAGAATTAATGAGGAGATTCATTCTGTGTATGCATGCCAAATTCACTAATGGCAGATGCATACTTTATCATTAAGTCCCATGTTTCAGAAAAAAAAAGTATAATGAAAGACAAAAACTACCTGAGGGTAGAAAGGATGAGAACCATTCTGCATTTTCTCCAATAGTTTTAGAAATATAGGAGCCTGATTACGAGTAAAAATGTAAGTTATTACACAACTTTACATATTAGCTTATTTAGCTATAAGGCTTATTGCATGATGAATGGAATACTATATTATATATTTCTCGAATTGAATGATTACATCATTTTGGTTGCTGTATAATCCATGAAAGTGAAGGCGAATTTTTTAAAAAAGGTATTTTCTGATCGAATTACAGGAAACGTTTGGGGAACCTGAAAATCGATAAAGAAGTAGAATTAAAAACACACCTCTCTAAAGCCAAGAAAGCCAGGAACATATGGGACATCGATCGTAACGATAGACGAATCCTCATAAACGACATCGAGAGTTTTAAAATCCAAAACAACGAGGGTTCCGCAAGCAACTGACGGATCATCTTTTGAGAAACTTATATCAACTCCGCCTATGTACTTCAACAATTCTACTCCACAACCCTCTCCTGTTTCCCCCAACTTCCACGTGTAATCATCTTCGGTGACTAATTTCTTCTTCAGCGAATCCTGAACCCTAATTGAATTCAGGTGAATTGGGTATGTGAGCCCTAGCTGAAAGACGAATGAGCGAATGACCGAACGGATGAGTACTTACTCGAGCCATTTATGAGGAACGTGATATTGATCGGAGGAATACAATGCCGACGATGACGTTGAAGGGGAGGATTCAATCTCCATGTAAGCTCGGAATCTCTCTTAGAAGTTGTAATGTCTTGACAAAAATACAGTTTGGTGGTTTATGATGATATAACGTGTTTGAATCATCTGATTTTAATTTTTATTGTCGGTTACTTACATTTTGATGCCGGAGTACCGACTCCTATTTGGATAGCAGGTCCGTCCCAAAAGGCGATAGCGCGACCGTTTTAAAGGTGCCCGATTTTTTTACCTAAATTGTTATATTTAGAAGAGTATAATTAATTTTTTTCAATTATTGAGTTATTATAAAAAACTTGATAACATTTGTGTATTTTAAGGGTCAATTTTTTCCTTTCGCTCTGGACCCAAAATATGTTTGGAACGACCTGTTGGGCAGTGATGGAAATATTTTGGGTTGGCTTAAATAGTCTATTTAGTTTTTGAAGTATTTTTATTCATTGAAATTATATTGTTTTCCGGGGCATGTTCAAACCCGAGGATAGTCGAATTAACTAACTTGAGAAATTTGTTTTCTAACCATTAATTACTAACTAGTCGTTCAAAAAGAAAAAACTTATATTTTGATTTTTTTTTAGATCGAAGACATTTTTTTTTCAAAAAAATCCAATTTTTAACTATTAATTGTTATTTAGAGATTACCAAACAGATAAATTATAAAGACCTTATATTGTGTACTCTTTTCTATTTCAGACATAAAACATTTTTAATTTTCAAAATAAACTCAATTTAATATATTCATTGTTATTTCATTAATGGAATTGGTATCAACGCTTACCAACGCGTACCCCTATATCTCTAACTTGTATGTGCCCTAAACATCCACCACCTATATGTCTAAGTACTTATACTTCTAGAGACGTTTAAATATGTATTTATATTTCTAAAAAATATATTTTTTACTTCTAAAAATGTAAAAAATATATATTATTACTTCCAAAAACATAAAAATAGATATTTATACTTCAATTCAAAATATTTATCTATTTTCTATAAAGTATATTTATACTTCTAAAAAATATATTTATACTTCTTTCTCAAAATACACCTGATTGAATATCTCGTCGACATGGTCGTTTCTCTTTATGAATAATGAGAAAGTGGGGTAGAAAAGGCAGCCCTTGATGTTGTTCAACGATTGTAATTGACACTCCTTCTTATATATGTAATTGTCGTGCGTATGGGATCAGATGTGGTTCCGCCAAATTACAAGGTGCTCACAATAAGATGTAAGAATATGATGTTATAGTCGACTCATCCCCTCACTATGGTGTGTGTGTGTGTGTGT